ATATCTATCAGTGGACAAAATTAGGATACTAGCCATATTAGTTGGCATAATTCTAGCCTAGGATTTCTTCATGTTTCATGTATATATTAGCATATCATGATCAATATACAGCAACAGTTTCGAATACATTTTGGCAATGTTTGAATGATTTGGTATGAATTGATATGTATGTTTGTTGATCTACTAACAACATTTGAGTAGGATGATAAAATATATCGAGACCTTGAAAAATACTCATGGTTAAAAATAGGAAGTTTATATTAAAAGAGTAACAATGTATTAATTAATTTATTTTTAATTTGCAATGGATTAAAATATCATGTGCATATTACTTCAATTTTTTATTAGACTAATTCTAATAGTTTAATATATTAAATTTAATATAATTTTTAATAAATAAAAAGTTATATATTCATTCCTTAATAACCACTTTGGATACTGATTAGAAAAATATTAAAGATAATTATATTTCATTGTCAATATGTAATATGCAAACTTATTGGTTTTGAAAGAGTAATCAAGTTGGTTAAGCTTTTAGCTTCTTCTAGTTAGAACTTGGGTTTGGATGAAAATAAGTTAGACCTTAAACATTAACTTATGGTTTGATTTCTTTAAAGTCTAGTCTAACATGATCTCTTTAATAATAAGGATAAATTTAGGCTTTTAAAAAAATCTATTTATTTTAAAAAATTAGGCTTAGGCTTATAAAAAAGTCTGTTAAGTCTGATAGGTCAATTTATTTATCTATATAATATAATAAAAAATTTAATATACATATATTATTAATAATATAAATAAAAAATAATTGTATTAGTTCTAAATTGATTGTATTGAATAATTGTGTCATTTTTTAAAATTACTAGTTTTTAAACCAATAATTTGAATGAGTATTATCATAAATATTTTTATTTTTAAAATAGGAGTTGACTACTAAAAGTATGTCAAGTGAGATAATTGAAACAATTAATTTTTTTAATAAGATTAACCAACCTTTTTTATCATAGGCTATGGGTGAGCATACATCAATGTACATGGATGTACATGAGTTATCCCTTTAACAAAAAATAATTTCATCTATTCTTTTTTTATGACATTATATATGTACTCGGTACTCCTAAGATAAGAAGAAAAACAAGGATGAGAAGTAGAAGCAGAATGGGTGAGAGAGAAAAAATTAAAAATAAATGAGAAAAAAGTCATGTGAAATATCAATAGTTTTTGGTGAGATTGTTAAACGAGTGAATCATGTATAAATTCTACTAAAGGATCAAATTTAGGTTCATGCACTTCTATCCAAACCCCTTCATCTTTCAATCACTAGGTTAATGTTAGTGGTCATACATTTAAAAATATTATAGAACAAATCCTTATCATATAAAAGAAAAATATGAAATTTTTTAAAACACGAGATAAAATATATATAATTTTTTGTGGAGAAAATAAAGATACTAAAATGGGTTAAATAATGTTAATCAAAAACTCAACACAGTATATATCTAATTCTTGTTCAACCAGATCAAGTTTCACTATCTTTTATAAATATAAAATATTATTTTACAATCTACTTTTGACTCAACCTAAATATTATTTGACTTGTTATTTCATGCAAGTATTTAAATATTCTTTTAATGCAAAACCTATATAAGCTTCAAAAAACTAAGTATTTTTTACAGGCAACCCAAATATTATTTTACAAATAAACCTCTCAAAGTTCAACCTAGTATTATTTTACAAATAAGTATCTCTAAACTCAAAGAAATAACACAAAATTAAAGTTGGGTAATCTAACAATATTGTTTTGTCTTACTATTAAAATGTAATACAACCAATTAAATATAAGGTTTTTTACAAAAGAAAGAAATGTACAATGATGTTCTTGTAAGTCTTTCTCTTATTTTCTTTCTGGATTTTAAAGCTTCTTTATAGAAATGTTTCATAAAGATGATCGTTGCAAATCCTTAAGCTTCTCACATGTTTATTTTGTCTGTCTTCATCTTCGTTCAATGCAGAGAAAAGTGTTTGTGGATGAATTAAATATGTTTCACCAAATTGTTACTTCTTATTTAATCAAAGAAGCTATTTATCATCTTTTAGGTACTAAAATAGAGGAATTATGCATGTGTTGGTAAGAAACAACTTTTCCTACAATCTTTTTTGCATAGTTTTAAAAATCAGACCGGTCATCATGTAACGACCCACCCTAGGCCGTCACATCAATAACCAACCAAAATAAAATAATATAAAATAAAGAATTTAGTATAATTTTTAAGCTTGGAACGGCCCGTTTTGCTTTTGGAACGGCCCGTTCCAAGTTACCAAAACACCCCTTAAATTTTTTTTAAAATTGCGAAAATGCCATCAGTAATAAAATTACAAGAATACCCCTATACCTTTATAAAATTTACGAAAATGCCATTGATAATTAATAATAATAAAAATGGGTATTACACATCAAATCAATTAAGATACTGGGTTAGTGGGTCAAATGTTAAATCGGTGAGCCACTAATTGAACTGCATAACCCGGTTTTTATTAATTATTTTAAAATATTAATATTAAATATATTTTATACTTATAAATTTCAATAAATTCATATCCTATTTTAAATTTCAATTTCCATCTTACTTAAAATTATCTTTATTTTTATTTTGTATAAAGAAATACATAAAAAAATTACATGTTAAACTGTATATTAATACAAATTAAAAATATAAATAATATGTACATATATAATATGTTTGCAATTGATATCACAAAATAATATATGTAATATCTACATAGATATTATATTATTAAATATATAATTTAAAATTAATAATATACTATAAAAGTTATTTAAGTTGTATATATT